TCAGATCTCTCAATTTGTAAAGCCTTATCAAATTGCTTATCAACTAAGTCACTGCCATAGTTTTGCCATTTAAGATAACCTTTATATTCTATGGTTCTAGTTCTACATGTTTCTTCCTTGGAACAATTTCTATTAATTCTCAAACCAACTCCAAAAGGAATGCCCTTTTACAATGGACTGGGTGTGAGCTAATGGGACCTTCAAAATTAGCTTGCTTGTCAAGAATTCTCATGGCCAAATCACCATAACTACAAGTTCAAAATCTATTTTACATGAGGGATCTCTGTATCCTTCCCTGGATCATTCTACTGGGAGCTGTCATGTGGTTTATTGGTCATACACAAGCAATATATCTGTCTGTGTTCGCAAAAACATAGTCACAGGAATTGACTTGTCACTGATAATCTTGATACAATTCTGTCCTAAAGCTAGCTTTCCATGAGGCTTATTGTAGCTCAAATAAAAGGAAGTAACTCTCCTGAATGCCTTTTGAGGCCAGGAAGACTAAATTCATGGTCTTTTCATTGAATCACTAATTGTACAATTTAATTAAAGTGCACCTAACCCCAATTTTTTTTTCACTACATGTTATTTGAAATACTTCTGTGAAAAAATTTTTGGATTCGGTTAAATCCACCATTTTCTGTGCCCCGACAAAATCTTGAAAATAGCCCCAAAACACTGCCATTTTGTTTCACGACCGAGTTTGAGGAGAATGGGTCCAGTGGCTGTTGTGACGTCTACCCGGGAATATCTCACATCCTCTCATTTCCTTCAGGACGGTGCAATACACGTTCAAAAAGTGTGCAGAAATGCCTTCCAGAAGTGCTATCGGCTCTTGCAGCAATATCCCAGATCTAAAAAAAGATATACTGCACAATTTACTAGTGATGATCGGTCAATGGTACAATAAAGACATAACGATGGTTGATTTTGTCGCACCGAAACAAATGAACAGAGTCTGTGAGAACCATTGAAGAACTCTCACTGGAATTTTTTCCGCAGGCTTTCAAACGCTATTTTCAAAATTTTCTGCTTAAAGCCAACCAGCAATTTGTCGAAATACTACCAACAACCTATATCTTCCAGTCTCGCAGTGGTTTACGGTCATTTCGCCCTATGGTCATTTCACCCCCAGTCACTTCGCCCCAACCAAAAGTCATTTCGCCCCATAATCGAAGTCACTTCGCCCCATACAGAAGTTACTTCGCTCCATGTAAGAAATTAGTGAAATTTGTCGTGAACTTTTCGTTTTGATGTTGGAGTTGGACTGATTTTGAACTTAAGACTTATGTCAGTTCAGATTATTAACTACTGCAGCTTCCAGTCGCGTTTGCTTAAATACGCTTGGTAACACTAAATATCATTTCATTCGATTACTTTCCTCATCATGAATTCTTATACGTTGTAATCCCTCAAAATACACTAAATATCACTTCATTCGATTACTTTCCTCAACATGAATTCTTATCCGTTGTAATCCCTCAAACCCCGTTAATGCATGGGAACTTGATCTGTTCTTGTTAATTCTTATCATTATCGGCCTCATAGTTTTGCTTACTCGAGAGAAATGAGATTCGGTAAATGTCGTCTCACTTTTACCGCACGTAATTGGTTGAAAACTTGCCATGACAACGTAGCCATTGCGTGGGTAGTAGGTTTGACAAGAAAAAAACAAGTCTTAATTACTAAAGTTGCATGCATTGGAAAACTTAAAGCAGTCTAAGGCGCTATGTTGCAAGGTCACTAATCCAAGAGTGATAGAGAACTTTTAAGATAACACAGCTAGTTGATGTTAAGATCGTATTCTGAAGTCTTTGAAAGGTTGGCGCATTGTGCCAAAAAAAAGTCTCACCTTGAATTAACATAAGTTCACACATTGCGCGTGGGTATGTGTGGCAAGAAAATAACAATAGTCTTCATTAACAGAAGTTCTGTGCAACTATACGTGCAATAAATCAAATACATTTAGACTCAATAAAAAAACGGTTTTGAGGGCAGTTTGTTAAACAACGCGCGTTAAGTCATGGATGGTTTTCAAAGTTTTTCAAATACGATCGGCCATCGATCGATCGATCAACGGACTTTGTTTGACTTTGTTGCTATGTAAGTGCCACAAGTTACTGCTAAACAACGCACGTAATCAAACAAAGATATTTAGACTCAATCGCACTTAAACTATGCCAAGATCTCTGGCGCATTTTAAGTTCTCTACATGGTTACAATTTCTGAAATTCGATCGGCCATCGATAAACGGGCGCGAATTACCAACAAGTGCATCAACAACATCAACATGGTGTGGGGGACAGAGAGAGATTAGGGCAAGTGAAACTAACAATGACAAGCATGTCATCAAGATCATATTTATAAATGGGATGATTATAACATCAGCTAGGCAAATAGAGACAATCTTGTAAGCATATATACACTTTAATTATATCATGGAATGAAGTAACTGCTGTATGGAGCAAAGTAACTCTTGTATGGAGCGAAGTGACTTTTGGTCAGGGCGAAATGACTGGGGGCGAAATGACCATGGGGCGAAATGACCGGATACCCCCACAGTATTTATAACATAGCCGGCAAAGTTGTGTGATCAATCAAGAAGCGTTACGACCAAATATACTGATGTGTGAATAGGTCACAACTGTACGCCACCAACCAGCATTTATTTCTCTTTCGATTTAGATTAAAGTTGAAGATTAATCCTTTAGAATTACATGATAACAAACTTGTTACACTCAAAGAGTTTTTCGAAGGTTTGGAAATCAGCAGTGCGACAAACATTCTACACATTAGTGTCGAAAATGACCGTGTAACATTATCTGCGGACCGCTTAGGGAACAGATCCTTTTCGCTTATCCCACGAATTTCACTGCAAACTTTGAAAAAAATTTACACTGGTTATTTGAAGTTACGACTTAAAACGTGTGGCAATGTGAAATCGGTAATTGTATGAAATGTTTCCTTCCGCCTTGCTTTCCGCAGCTTCTAAAATACAGGTCCAAACAATTCTACAATTTTCAATCAATCGAAGCCATTGTTTTGGAGATCATCAAGTCTCGAAAACTGCAACACTTACGTCGCTCTTATAAACATGAAGCATTCAACAAAGTAAAACACAAACTGGATTTAATAGAACAACCATACATGTACGTTGACAAAATACATTCTCGCTACGGACAAATGTGAATGGGTTATAAACACGCGTGGGAGTCTTGTGTTTAGGTGACAAAATTACCATCCAAAGCAGTCCCTGAGTTTTCTTTCCTGCTTTTCGTTTGCCTGCTCCTCCACTTCGTATCTAGCTTTCCATTCCTAATATACAAGCAGCTCATCCGCAATGAAGTCTTCCCCGTCGTCGTTTGAAATATTGCAAATTGTTCTCAAAGCTCTAAGCAGTCAGTTCACAGTTGTCGAATGTGCTTGATCAAAGTTTGTTTCGGTGTCTTCCGAATCGAAACCTAACTCTGACTCCAGTGACGAAAAAGAAATGATTCTGAAACAAAACTTGGATGTTTTAGTCCCAAAATATATTGGAACAATTAGTTTTGTTTTCCATTTTCTCGAACAAATACAGAGAGCTGACTGAGGCGCCAATGTGTTTGGTTCCTGGGTAGAGGTCATCATCAACCGCCGCCCCAGACTCCCCGAAATGCGGTCATGTAACACTTCAGGCGTGACTTTGAAATAGCAAATCGAGGATTCAATGAAATTCAAAAATTTTTTCACCCAAATGCTTCAAATAACACGTGGATTCATTTTAGCGAAAAAAAATTTGGGGGCTAGGTGCACTTTAAGAGAGCTTTCAACATGAAATTTGAGTCTAAATCAACACAAATGTACACATATCAAAGCCGCGGCGGAGAGCTGATCTATAGCTTTCTAAAGGCCTGCATTGTCCTATATGGACTTACCAACAGCTTCCTACATTGAGAATTGATTGAACTTCAAACAAACTGGGCCATAATTATGAGTAAGCGAACACTGTGCATGCTGTCAGTATGTCAATTATCGACCGGAAGCCACACAAATAAACTTCTTCCATGCTAGTGAATCACAGACATGTCTGATAGTTAGCTAAGCCAAAAATGCCTAAAACTAATAAAACAAGGAAATTAAATGCAACTCAGGATTGATCATCGCTTGACGTGATTTCCTTCACTCTGTTCGTGGCCATGTTTTGGTTGGTAATAGCAATGTCGAGCTGGAAAGTGCCATATCAACTCCACCACAGATTATTTCTTTAAGTCTTAAGTCTTTAGCTGCATCAAAGTGCAGGCCAAATAACGACAGCCGCTAGAAATGTTTAGTCCATTGCACTCCTAAGCCCTAATTGATGCAGCTAAAGCTCTTCGCTGTCTAAAGCAAGCACAACATTATTGCCACAGTGCAAATGGCCTACTTATTACAGTGCTAAACGTTGACCCGTTCCTGCATCTCAGGGCCGTTTCATGTATGATAATGGACAACCCTTGGTAACAAATTGTTACACTTGCTCCTTCATTGGACTTAATGATGTCCTCGGGCAGACTTCCTTTAGACAGAAGTTATAGACAGTTAATTGACCAGTGCAATCTTGGAGTCGCCACGTGAAATGAAACTCAGATGAGTGTAGCCTGGGCTAAACTTGATACCAATTGAAAAAAGCAGGGGAGGGGGGTAGCGATAAAAAAAAAGCTAAATAAACAAGACATACAGCAAAAAGTTCTCTACACTTCATGCTGGGTAAGCTTTATAAGTTCCTGCCATTAAGCAAGCAAAAAAAAAATCACAGGTTACATGAATGAAGGGGTTAAAATCTGCGAGGAGAACATTATTGTGGTTAACTTTCTTTTTTGTATACCTGTAAGTAGACTATAAAAGATAATTTAATTTTGAATATCATCTACATTGTACATGTGTCGGAATCATGATCATATCTTACTCATGTCAATAGTGAGAAAGTGTGTTCATGTCTTTAATTAGTGAAGGGAGAAAAATATGTCATATGTACTTACTTCTTTAAATACTCAGCAATTGTCTTACGAGCAGTAGGAGAGTAAGTCCACTCACCCTCTTCTGTTCTCCTGGCATATCCAAGGACCTGAGAGGATGAATCAAATCATATACCCAGCCTGTTTTATGAAGCTTGAATAGCCATAGAAATTTTTGTAGAGTCCTACACCTCTACACGTTTATCACTGATCACTTTGTACTACTTCTCCTACGTGTACATATCAAACGGTGGCATGTTACCATGTTACCAATGGTTTTTGGTCTGTTATAGAAGTTTTTATTCAACCCTACATCTGAACTCATTCACTCATGATCATTTCTACATAATGAATTCTACGCTCTACGTCTCTACAATCAAACATATCTAGATAATGAACTATACGGCTCTACGATCACACCTTTCTAGATAATGAACTATACGGTTCTACGATCACACTTTTCTAAATAATGAACTCTATGGCTCCATGGTCATATGGCTCTGAGTTTCTACGGCTCTACGGTTCCACGGTTTTACAGTTCTAGAGTTCCGCTGCTCTACGGCTCTACAGTTCTACAGCTCTATGGCTGCACAGCTCTAAGGCGATATGGGTCTACGGCTTTACGCTAATGAACTATATGGCCCTACGATCACACATTTCTAGATAATGAACTCTATGGCCATATGGCTCTACCGTCACATTTTTACATAATCAACTCTATGTAAACTGTAAGTAAATTTGGTGATATATGCTGTCATATTAATGTACACTAACATTTTGAAGGAAGATAGTGAAATTTGGTTCCTCCTAACATACTGAAGGAAAATGAAGCAAGCAAAATATGTGGTCGTACTAGCTTACTGAAGGAAAGTAAGCAAAATATGTGGTTGTATTTACGTACTGAAGGAAAGTAAAATATACGGTCATACTAACGCACTGAAGGAAAGTAAAATATGCAGTCGTACTAATGTACTAAAGGAAAGTAAAATATAAGGTCATACTGAAGGAAACTAAAATATACAGTCATACTAACGTACTGAATGAAAGTAAAATATACAGTGAGGTACTAACATTGTGAAGGAAAGTAAAATATACGGTTGTACTAACGTACTGAAAGAAAGTAAAATTATACGGCTGTACTAATGTTCTGAAGGCAAGTAAAATATACAGTCATACTAACATACTGATGGAAAGAAAAATATACCGTAACTCTCGTAACCTGCCACTTATAAGTCCCAGATATAAGTCCCCCTGGTTATAGGCCCACCTACCTGTACACAAAATATTACTTCCGATTATAAGCCCTCCTGGATACAAGCCCCCCTCTAGTTTAGAATGAAATGAATTTTATAATTTGTAGTGATGTTTTAAGGATGGTATCTACTTTAGCTAGTGTGCACACGTTCTGCACATCATGCAAGGTATGGTTAACCACCACATGTGCGCTAGGGTTGGCATTGACGTAATCAACTATGCTACCAAGCACACAACTAAAATGAAAGCAAAATTATCCTACTGTGACTAAATCAAGTTTAATAAACCTGCACTAAACCCAGGAACACCAGAATAAGAGTGTATCGCAACCACTAATTGCTAACGGTTTCTAGCTTAAAATCTAGCTGTTATCTGTTGAAAATCATACTGAAATCCAACTGCAAACACGTACCTGCAGATGGTCTAGTGCTCACGCAAAACAAGTGCAAGAGACAAATGTTTTACTTACTGGGGAGGTGACAGGAAAAATTGTCATGGGCGCCGTAAAAGTTTTCAAAAAAGATGAATAACTTTAAAAAACGTGTGGTTACCCAAACATTTTATGTTATGAAGTGGAAGTAGCCCCCGTTAGCACATTTAATAGTGCTAAATACATTTGACACTTAAATGAAGTTGTTAATATTGTTATTGTTATTGTTGTTGTTATTATTATTATTATTATTATTATTATTATTATCAGTGACAAGCCTATTCAACACGTGATTAGCTTTTAGTTGTGAGCAAAAGCTATTTAGACTGTATTTGAGCTGAACCAAAGGAAGGCTGTCAGAGACTCTAAAAGTGCTGTTGGAACAATTTTGTCATTAAAAACATGCCAACTAGTAATAGTTGCAACTAAAGCTACCCCCACTTTCTTTTATTTCTATTGACTGAAAACAATTGAACATTATTATATGAACTAAAACTCCTACATCTTTTTTTGGTAAACTTTATCACTCGTAATGTTCCTATAACTTAGGCATCTTATCATGGTTATTATCCAAACATTCAACTAAGTAAACTAAACCAACACTTTCTACTTAACTCATTCCATTCCAGACAGCCATGAGTTTTCGTTTGAAAGATCACAAAAAGTACTTTCTGAAAAAAACGTTTCCTTCATGGGAACTAATATTTCTGTTTCAAAAATTTCACTCAGTAGCACTTAAGAAAAAATGGTTAAAAATTATAGAGAATCAAACTGCTGTTTGAATTTGACGATGAAACAAACCATTTTTATTTTATTTTGAGAAAATCATCTGGAACTTGCTGTCACGATTTTTTTCTGAGACGGGTAGGAGGAGGAAGCACCCAACAAAGAAAAGGCCTTTCTCTGCAATACCCCCCTTCCCCTACTATCTTGCTAAGAAAGGCCTGATACTCAGGTATCAAGTATCATGTTACTGTCCCCCAGCCTCTAATCTATAAATGCAAATTAGTGTCAAGCTCTTTGTCCTCAATGAAAACCCTGCAAAACATTTACATTAACCTTTGGATTCCTGCCAAGTCACCCAGCCGTGACATGAGCTCTATGCCACATGAGATTACTCAACACAAATGAGTGATGTGAATAAACGACATGCCAAAGGTAGACCTGGCGATCAGAAGAATTTTAGTCACAATTGAACATGAGCGAAGCGACACTCACTTTGAATATCGATATTTACGGCTTCTTCAGAATTACTTACGATACCTTCTGAGTTGTTTTTATCGCAAAATCCATCTTCAGGATCTTTGAAATCGTTTTCAATTTGTTCTATATCAGAATCTCTGCCATTTCGAAGATAATTTACTCGATCGCCAGACGGTGTGTTTATTCGACCCAAAGTAAACTTTCGGCAATCCTTTGCGAGCCGTGTTCAGAAAAATCGACATTTTTTCTGCTATGGCAAAATTTTTGGGCCTTTACGAGGGGACATCTAGGGTGCCTCCTTGGGTTTTGGCCATCTGGGCCAAAACCCTGCAGGAAAAAATGGTTTTTATATTACCATTTACCATGTAGTCTAAAGACCTTTAAAAATGTGTTTGCTTTTCTGTATGTACAAGTAAAAGTTAATTATAAGGAAATCTGTGAAGAAATATCCTTTCCTTTTTTTTCAGAAAAATGGTGATGTCAGCATTTTTGTTCAGATCCAAGGCTAATTATCTCAAAAAAATGCGTGGCTACCCCCATTTTCTTTGTGGATTCCAATAGCCCTTGCAAAGATCTACTTTTTCCGCACGGTCCTAATCTGGTGCAAAAACCTTTGTATTTGGTAGGCACCGTCCTTGAAGCTTATTGAAAACCAGTACATGAGAAATTTATTTTGATCAACATTGCTTTAGCTTATTTCGAAACGTTTTTTGTTATTCAGCTTATAAGCCCCCTGGATATAAGTCCCTCCGATTATAAGCCCATCAAAAACACCTTACAAAAGAGTATAAGCCCCAGGCTTATAAGCAGAAGTTTACAGTAGCTCCATAACTTCCAGTTTCCATAAAAAGCCTGTTATATGTTCTTACAATAGCCTGCTTAATTGGGACAATGGACACTTTCCTCTGACCAGAGTGACACGCTCCAATACCAAATAGCCTTACCTTATAGATACTTATTTTCTGTGACTGTAGACTGTACATGTTAAATTTTCCGGGTTTTACAATTAAACGGAAAGAGTAAGTAGAAAGGAAAGTTATCAGAGGATACAATGTACTTTAGACAGATTAATTTTTGCTATTGATCATGCTTAAAACAATACGACACTCTTAAATATTTAGTTTGAACGTAATCTATTTAGTATACTGAATGCCGGTATGCAGTTTTCAGTATCCACAAATCCAGAAAGAAAACACGAGTTAGAATCATTAAGAATTCAATGATAACAGAAAGTCTGTAACGCTTATTCTGAGAGCTCACATAAAGCATACAATAGGCCGGATTCTGGATAGAGCGCCCAACATTTGGCCAAAATTTGAAGCCAAAAAAAATATCGGCAATCAGCAAATTTAATTCTCACCACCATATCAAGCAAGCTACACAAATGGTGTGTACCAATATTTGCACTTTCCTTTGAATGTTAGTAAGAGGTAATTCAACCCTTTCCTTATTATGTAAGTACGACCGCAAGTCACCAAATTTACTTTCCCTGAGTAAGTACGTTATCACAAATGCTTATTTCACCACATTTACTTTCCTTTGTACATTAGGACGACTGCATATTTTAACAAATTTACTTCCATTCCTTAGTGCCTTAGTACGTTACTTCAACCCTTCTTTGCGTTCAAAGCTTTCCCTCTAGCACGTTAGTACAACCCCTGTTTCAAAGCTTTCTTTGGTACACTACTACGACCCTTGTTTCAATTCAGAACTTTCCTCTGTACGTTAGTATGACAGTACGACCCTTATTTCAATTCAAAACTTTCCTCTGTAAGCTCGTACGACAGTGCAACCCACATTTCAATTCAAAACTTTCCTTAGTTTGTTAGAAAGGCCCTTGGTTTTATTCAAAGCTTTCTTGGGAAACTTAGAATGTTAGTAAGCCCATTGTTTCTATTGCATTCATGACTTATTTATTTACTGGAAACAACGAAAATAACACTTAAGTTTTGTTTAGATTTTTGGGCACCTGTGTCACGTACTTAGTACAGTTTGAAGAAGTATTAAAGAAAAAAAATGAAATAAACAATTCCTATTCTATGCTTGGTATGGATATGTAGAGCCGTAGAGCCGCAGAGCCATAGAGCTGCAGAGTTTATTATTTAAAAATGCGTGATTGCAGAGGGGTAGAGGGGTAGAGTGGTAGAGCCGTAGAGTTCATTATCTAAAAATGTGTGATCATAGAGCCATAGAGTTCATTATCTAAAAATGTGTGATCATAGAGCCATACAGATCATTATCTAAAAATGCGAGATTGTAGAGCCATACTGTTAATTATCTAGATATGTGTGATTGTAGAGCCGTAGAGTATAGAGTTCATTGTGCAGAAATGATTGTTAGCAAATGAGTTCAGCTGTAATGTTGAATAAAACTTCTACAAAAAGCCAAAGACCATTGGTAACCATGGTAACATGCCACCGTTTTACATGTACAAGCAAGAGAAGAAGTACAAAGTGATTGGTGATAAACACGTAGAGAAAACTTCTATGGCAATATGAGGTCCCTAAAACAGGCACCAGTTGTCATATGAACAAAATTAAATGAACTAGGAGCAAAAATCCCATTACCAGGTCTCTTCTTTTTGGCTCATAACTACCATTCTTTACACCATACAATTGCAAAAATCTGTGCTGCTGCAGCTATCCTTTTTTGTACAAATTGAGGTACAGTTACATTATACAAATGCTTATTCCTGTGATACATAATATTAAATAATTTCCAAGGAGAAGGCTTGGGGGAAATTTTGAATAATGCCTTCTACCAGGTAAATCACTATCAAGTGGATAAGTTTTGCCAGAATAAGCCCTGATATCCACTGGATAGTGACTTATCAGCTGACAGCATTTTCAACCCTTAGAACAACAGGGACCAGGGATATTATTATATGAGACATCCAATTTTAGCCCCATTTTAACCTCACAACAATTCCACTCCCCCTCACCCCCCCCAAAAAAGACACAGACAAAGCCATCCATATTTATTACTTACCTCTTTGTTCTGTTTACTGAATTTCATGTTCAGTCCAATATCTACCTTTGTGCCTCCACCAGATGCACTTTAATATAAAAAAATATTGAAAACCATTAGCAAGATTCAAACGGTGATAACTAGTGACTGCCAACCAAAACCTCACCAAGGCTGGAGCATTTTTATCAAACTACTAGTGTCATCTTTGCTGATTGACAAAAAGAGATTTGTTCCCATTACCAGAATTTTGTTGATACTTGTCTCCTCTAAATTTAAATCTAAGGTATTGCAATTAGGCTGATGTTTCTGCCTGTGTTGCAATTGCGGTTAAGTAGATACAAGTGCTCTTCCTAACAAGGCAAATGTTCAGGCTTCGTCATAATTAGCTAAGATAATACACGATGGTAAGGAAAAAGTCAGTACTGGCAGCCTGGCAGAGGCATCAGGCTACACTGTTGCAAAGGGACCAGAAGTCATCCCATTTTTGGTAGAATTAAGCAAATTAGCAAATTTCTAGTGCTCTTGGATGCCATGTTAGTCCAAAACAGAATTTATCTTGTGCATTTCATTCTCTGGTACCAATACAAGTATAATTTTACACCTGGTTGGAGAGCGGAATGTGAAAGTAGAGTTTCTAGTGCAATCAACAACACAACTCAATGACCCCGCCTACAACAGGCACCAGATAGAGACCACAAAGATCACAGTCTGATGAGGATGACTCAATTTACAGCTGAAGAAAATGACTGGAAACAGCTTAACCTTATCCTAAAACAGACAATCTGAATTTATTATAAAAGGGTCACTTTTCTTACTCCATGTGAATATTTATTTTGTAGCTAAACCAGTTTACAAAGGTATGATTCAGAATTAGCATGACATTCACAGTTTGTGGCTATGTCCTATATGGCTTTTACAACAAATGTACAAACAAAATACAGTCCAACCTCCCATAAGCAACCACCCAAAATGCCTAGTCTAGGAGGTCGCTTACAGGAGGTGGTTGCTATCGAGAACTAGGATCATATTGGGTCAAAATTTGCCTTGTTAGCATATGGTAACTACATGTACAGAGACTTACCCAATGTTTTAAATGTTTCATTGATGTCAAAAGTCAATTTCAAGAAAAAATATTGTACTTGCCATTGAGAAATATCTGTCTCTTGTACTATTCAATTTTCGCTCTATTATCTGTCGTGGTTGCTTACAGGAGGTCAAAACAAAAGAAAATTTCACACTTTTAGCTCTAAAAATGGTCACGGTCACTTATGAGAGGTGGTCACTTACACGAGGTTCCAAATATAGTGATTTGACTTGGAAACTT